ATCTTTCTAGCTTTCTAGCGAAGCAGAAATACATGCAGTAACTTTATTTGGCGGTTGCATAGCGAATTCAAGTGCTCCATTCCCAGTCCCAGCATCCCAATGAGCTAAAAAGCCAGCCACAAGCCAAAAAAGACCGAAAAGCAAACGAAACCAAACCAAACCAAACCGAGAGCGTTGCAAATGGCACATGGCAATCCGCAGCTCACAGTTCGCAGTTCGCAATCCGCAATTGGGATTCGCCTTTCAGCCGGATACGCGGTGGCCACCAGTGCGAGAAAATGGGCTATGAGTCGCCTTCGCTTGGGGATGTGGATAAGGATAACGATTCCGGTCTCAGTTCAAGTTTGCACTTCGGCTGCCACTTGTTTCTTTTGGCACTTTTTATTCCGCAAACAATTTGCACAGGAAGAGCTGCTGAAAGCTGCCCAACATTCTGCCATTTCCGGCTACTTAGTTGCTTTCTCCCCTCCCAGAGTGTTTGTTTATCCCAGTGGATGAGTTCTTTTTGACCACTCGTGCCATGTGAAATTAGCACTCCAAGGATTTATGAGCAAATAAGGGTTACTTTCAAGTCCGACCTATGCGAAAATGTCTTTCGAAGCGATCAAATTTTAATCAAGACTCGGGAGCAGCTGTGCCAAGGAATTTCGGAAGCCAGGATTAGGACCTGCCAATGCCCACTAATCCGCTCCACATAGATGGAGAACCTAACTCCCACCACATAGTGCAGCCGGATTTTGCAGCAATTTCCTATTTGCTGAAGTACTTTTAAGTGCATTCCGAAAGCATTTATTTCCGGCTTTTCAAAGTGGGCGGATTCGCTGTGGTAAAGGATTGCGGTATGGCTATATAAATACCTACTCTGCTCCGCATTGCAAAATGTTATCTCACGGAGATTCCTGTGACAACAATCAACTTCTTGAGCGCCGTAATATATGGGGCTCTCGAAGAGCATCTGCATCTGCATCCAGGAAACAAATTATCCGGCAGTTGAATCGCATGGATTCAAACTCATCTGGCCCAAAGGTGCTCAACAACTTTGGTAATTGAAACTTTGACAAGTTAAATGATGTTGAGGCAGTTCATGGGAGCGCAGATTAATGGAATTGACTTTGGGTGGGGTGTAGATGGATTTGAGGGTTGATTGCCGAACTGTCAGGATAATAAATAATAAATGAAACAAATTGTCATCGGCTTTTAGCTCGCAAAACTTTGGTGCGGCTTGTGTACAAGTAACTTAAAACTGAAATTTCATTAAAAAAACATACTTATATCTCTTTCTTTTTCATTTATTTTACAGCGTAACTGTGCCTGGTTACCAGGGCAATCTGCAGGCCGCCATCTCACATAGCGCTGCTCTGGCCGCCTGGGAAAGATTCGGTGTGGAATTCATCCTCACCTTTCTGGTGGTTCTGTGTTATTTCGTATCCACGGATCCCATGAAGAAGTTCATGGGCAACTCGGCCGCCTCGATTGGATGTGCCTACAGCGCCTGCTGCTTTGTGTCGGTAAGTTGACTTCCCCGACTCCAATCTGGCGACCCAGGAATGCGCCGGTCAGAAATCAGAAATCAGCAAGCGAAATCCAGAGCCCGAACCCGCCAAAACCAAAAACGAGCCGAAAACAAACAGCTGAAACGCACCTGCCGACTGAGACGCTGTCATTTTGATGGTGCAAAATCGCAGCATGACAACGGACGTACTGGGATGAACTGGGTAAACTCAGGTAGAGACGATCCCACAATCGCGGGATGCTGGAAGGTCGAGCCGGGGTGCAGGAGATAATTAATTTAGCACAGGGACTCCCTGGACTGGGCTGCATTGTTGGCATAACGGACAGCCGGTGGCGGCATCCAAAGAAGATGCCATCACACGGCCAAGTGCTCGAGGGAAACCGATTAAAGTCAAGGATTGAATTACGATTAAAAGAAATCGCGGATAAAGCGACGTTTTAGCTCTCGTTTAGGTGCTATCTTAATGTCTTCAGGGGCTTAAGTTCCTTTGAACTTTAAGGATAACTTATGTTATGTTATTTTGAATTCTTCAACTTAAAAAATGCATAAAAACTGCAGCAAACTTCTTGAGCTCTTCAAATTGTTTAAACAGTTTACTCCCAGCTTTGTTTGCTAACTTTTTTTCAAAGTATGCTTTGATGAAGAATATTCCAAACTAGAAGTTGACACAAACGACATTGACTGCTGACTTATGCAGTACGTGAAGTACTTTCCTTGCTTGGCAGACATCTAACCAAATCCTCCCTCCTTCTCCTCCTTGCAGATGCCATACCTGAATCCGGCCCGCTCCCTGGGTCCTTCGTTTGTGCTCAACAAATGGGACAGCCACTGGGTGTACTGGTTCGGACCACTGGTGGGCGGCATGGCCTCTGGCCTGGTGTACGAGTACATCTTCAACTCGCGCAACCGCAACCTGCGCCACACCAAGGGCAGCATTGACAACGATTCCAGCTCGATCCACTCGGAGGACGAGCTGAACTACGACATGGACATGGAGAAGCCCAACAAGTATCAGCAGTCGCAGGGCACCTACCCACGTGGTCAGTCCAATGGCAATGGCGGAGGGCAGGCGGCCGGAAATGGTCAGCACCAAGCTGCCAATATGGGCCAGATGACGGGAGTGGTGGCCAATGCCGGCCAGGGCAACTACTGCCAGAATCTGTACACTGCTCCACCGCTCTCCTCGAAGTACGATCAGCAGCAGGAGCCTCTGTACGGAGGAACCCGATCACTGTACTGCCGCTCGCCCACTCTGACCAGGAGCAACCTGAATCGCTCGCAGTCTGTGTACGCCAAGAGCAACACGGCCATCAATCGGGACATTGTGCCGCGTCCAGGTCCTCTGGTGCCTGCTCAGAGTCTTTATCCCATGCGCACCCAGCAGCAGCAGCAACAGCAACAGCAGCAGCAACAGGTGGCCCCCGCTCCTCAATCATCCCATTTGCAGAACCAAAATGTCCAGAATCAGATGCAGCAGCGCAGCGAGAGCATCTACGGAATGAGGGGCTCCATGCGAGGACAGCAGCAACCAATCCAGCAGCAACAGCAGCAGCAGCTACAGCAGCAACAGCCCAACATGGGAGTCCAGCAGCCACAGATGCAGCCTCCTCCACAGATGATGCCTGATCCCCAGCAGCAGCCGCAGGGCTTCCAACCAGTCTACGGCACTCGCACGAATCCCACGCCGATGGACGGAAATCACAAGTATGACCGACGTGACCCGCAGCAACTGTACGGCGTGACGGGACCAAGGAACCGTGGACAGTCGGCGCAGTCAGACGACAGCTCCTATGGCTCATATCATGGCTCGGCTGTCACGCCGCCAGCTCGTCATCCCAGCGTGGAGCCATCACCTCCGCCACCGCCCATGCTGATGTATGCCCCGCCCCCACAGCCGAATGCAGCCCACCCGCAACCCATTCGCACCCAGTCGGAGCGGAAAGTTAGTGCTCCAGTTGTGGTATCCCAGCCAGCAGCGTGCGCCGTGACCTACACAACCTCTCAAGGATCAGCGGTGACAGCCCAACAGCAACAGCAACAACATCAACAGCAGCAGCAGCAACAACAGCAGCAACAGCAACAACAGCAACAGATGATGATGCAACAACAGCAGCAGCATTATGGAATGCTGCCGTTGAGGCCCAACTGAAAGCGGCTGTCATGGGGTCCGGTGACCACGCCGCCGCCAGGGATTCACGCCCTCGCCCTCCAGCCGGGAGGCACCATGACCCTGCACCGCTGCAGTCTAGCCAAGCAGAGCAGTTTGTTTTAGTCGTAGTCGTAGTAGCACTCGGGCATCGCATCCAAAGGAAATGTACGCAAGTCTCAGCCCCTTAGTCTAGCATAGTCCTAGTTTAGATAGACGCAACATAGCCACATTGTATTATTCAGAGCCAACGCGACGAGGAACTCACACCTAGCAGCAGACAACGATGCGATCTAGCAAAGATCATGTACGCTTAAGCAACTATTACCATTCACGGAAAGCTAGACTAAACGAGTATTGGTGATCTAGACTGAAAGACAAAAGCATTTAACTAAGGCCCTTCCCTTATGTTTTGTTCAACTCTTCCAATTGCAAACAACTATGGTTACATTTTAATTTTTTCAAAAATACTCTTCCCTCTTTTTATGACCTCAGTCATGTGTTTTAATCAATGTTACAATTATTTTTTGTTTTGGCGAATCATTTGGTTTTTTTTATTGTTGTAAATGCGAAACTAGACTGAAAGATTTTACCTGCATTTACCTAAACCATTTTGTACGTTATATTTCAAAGATCTGTATACATATTTCATTTTTCGAGGATATTCAACGATTTTCGTTTACTTTTCGATTTTAATTTGTATATAGTCCATATAGACTTAATATTACGCATACCTAAGCTATTCCTGTAAATCTTACGACCTTAGGCTCGGAAGTAGATACCAACTTATATGCTTACTTATTAAAATAGTTGTATTTTCTTAGTGATAAACCCGTTTGCTCATAGTTGTTAGAGCCTAAGAGAATAATGCAAATATATTGTGTATCAAAATAAAGACAAGTTCATTCTTACTTTGGATTACATTTTTATACTATGTTACCAAGAAGTTGAGAGACTCATGCTTTGTAAAATTAGATCTTTTTCAATACACAAACTGGCATCAACATTTAGCACAATTTCCATATAATCATTTAAATTTTTTGATTTGATGACACTTTCTATTTATCATTAGAAGTAAATTATATTCTGAGAATCCAACCAACCATTCAATAGCTATTCATAGCGAAGTTGATAGTCTTTATTAGGCTTTGACATTTTAGGGGTCTTGTTAAGACGTGAGTAATTAGAAAAAAACAAATAACATTTAATGCATTCTATAATTAATATCTAACGTTGATCAAGGGAAAAGTTTGGATATTATCATTATCCAAATCACCATGCATATGGAAGACCCTGTTCGGTGGGTCAGTCCATATGTAGTATTAATGCACGAAGGCTACCTCAAAGCATCATCAGTAAAATGGTTTGTCGGTCCTCTGGATCCTAGTGCGAGGACATGAAGGAGAAATATAGCCGAGCCTCGGCCACAGGAAAATGGGGTAGCTCCTTCCGGATCTTCGCGAAGTCGGTGCCGTATTGGTCGAAGGCCTTCGAAAGTCGGATGAGATCCTGGGCCTTCCAGCGATGATAGCGACATCCGCGAGCTGTCTCAATCTTCTCCAGACGTCGACTGGCTAAGGACAGGTCGAATCCATGACGTCGCAGGATGAACAGCGCCTGCTCCTCCTCGATATTGTAGTGACTAACCGCAATGTACAGGTATTCGCGAACAGCCTCTTCGTCTTGATCCTGCAGCTGCGGCGACCACAGGATCGAGGCTCGATGTTGCAGCTGCCGCAAATCCTGTTTCCGCTCCCTCGGTGGCACATAATCCGGCAAGAAGGCTGCCTGCTTGCGCCAGTGATGTGAATCTCTAAAAGATGTGAATCTAAAAGAACAAATGATCTACATCAAGATAACACCGAGGCCAAGACAATTGTGTGTTGTGTTATGATCTCTAGTTTCAGTGTTGGCTATTGCTGTTACTAAACTTTGAAAAATCAACCACGGAATTCATAAATTAAAAAAAAGCTTTATCAATGGATCGGGGCAATGCTATAATGTTATTATGTCATTTAGAACTAATAATGTTATTATGTCCTTTAGAACTAATAACATAAATAAATATTATTGTTGAATTTTATTTTATCTGAAAACCTTTCGGGAGAGAACTAAACATGTTATATCATAGCGATGGACCATTTAGGAAACCCAGCCCTGGACTTTCCCCTAAAAAAACCTTACAATATCAGCTAAACTAATAAGAAAAAAATAACAAATTTCAAAATAATCAAGCTAAAGAAAATTAGCTTTTGTTTTAAAGTAAACTAAAGTAAAAAACGATGTTAATCTTCATATAAGGTCGAATCCATATCGCAATATTCCACCCCTGGCTCGATTACGTCCTCTGCGGCGGAATCGAATTCATCTCGCTCAGGATCTGAGTAGCTCTTTGTTTTCTCGTGCGTCAGGTACCCATCCCAAAGAACCAAACCATGTGATGGTGGAGGTTCATGAGAACGATCCGTGTCGTAGATCAGCCAGTGGGCATGTTTTTGAAGATAAAGCGAGTTGAGAAGAGTTGGCCAGTGCAAGAGTAGACCAGCCTTGGCCAATTTGATATGTAGGTAATAGCCGTGTTGTTTCACCGAGTCAATCCTCACCTCTCCGAGCAGATTAAGGATAAATCTTTGAGGAGGTGTCGTCCCATTCACCATATATTCTAATGAATTTCTATCTAGAACAAGCTTATACTCCAATACCTGCTGTTCTATTATAAGTTCGATATGGGTTTGGGTCTGGTGCCATTTAACCATCGGATACACTGATTCACTATATTTCGAGGCGCAGTTTAGGGACTGTAAAACAAGTTCCTTTGGAGGATCTTGAGAACCAATCACTTGTTTTACGGATTTTGCAGAGGAAATTTTGTGAGGAATTGTCTGGTTCTCTTCTCCTTGTACTAAGTTTTGTAGGAATTCTTGTGTATTCTTTTTCGTGGGCGGATTTGTAGTATTTAGCTCGTTAATCAGAGCGTTTATTAATGCAGTGGAACTATCTATTGGTGAAGCGTCTTGGACTTCTTCCACCTCCACGGATTTATTAAGATCATCTACATTTGTTAGTGCAGCATTATTTTCATTCGGTAAATCGGCATCTCTTTTTATTTTATCTGTCACGGGCTTTCTTTCCTCCAAATTTTCATTGCTATTAGGTGAAGCTAACATTAATGTTTTTTTAACCGGATCAAGGTCTTTTACATTTGTTTCCAGAGAAGCTAGTTTGTTGTTACGATCATCCAAGTCGGTAGAACAACCTTCAATGTTTTCCTTGTTGCTTTCCAACTCTTTAATTTCTTTTTCCCAATGTTCATGGATTGCTCGGAGCTCTCGGATGCTTGTGTTATCAATTTTGGCGAATCCATGTCGAAGCAGCTCCTTGCGCAAAAACGTTTTGTAGACACTCGTTAGCATTGTCGGGCACTCCTCTATCAAGGTTATTTCCTTGACATAAACCACATCCAGAACACCAAAGTCTACGGTTATTTGGATGATCTCTCCGTTGATGGCACCCAGCCTGTCCTGCACCCATTGAATGGAATCCGTTGACCACTTTCCTCCCTGTCCTGATCCAACCAATCCCGACAAACGAATATCCATGGCCAGATGTGGCAGGTTTCTGAACTCCTCCGGACACTCCAGCAGCTGACTACCCTTGACCTGCACTAACTCAGTGCCATGATCCATCAACTGAACAGTGACCAAACGTCTGACAGGAATGTCTACAATCCTGACACGGCTTAGGAGTTCCTGATGTATCACAAAACACACATCGTCAATGTTATAGAAGTCTTGTACCTTCCGTTGCACACCGAAACTCATCTTGAAGAGTAACGTCGATGGATATGAAGGATAAGGCACATCGATCCAACTGGTCGAGCCTTTGGACTTATACTTCATGGGCATGACAGCCATATGAGCGCCGTCATAGGCTTTGAGGAACTTGCATCGAATTAGGGTACCCGGTTGAAGAAGAGGATTTCCAATCTTCGCAGTATCTGTTTTAAGGAAGTAATGTCGCTTGGTGCACTGGTTACGATTGCAATCACCATTGCTTAGTTTGTATGGGCAGTAGGGACTGTCATCCAACTGCTGCTGACTGTAAGATAATTGGGACATCAAATGTCTGGGGGTTAAGCCGTGATCCTTTAAAAACTTCATGGTGCGGGGCCATTCCTTGGCGTTTTTCTCGTCCAGCAATAGGTAAGTAATTAACTGTTGCACTCTTCCTGTCGGGGTTGTAAATAAATTCCGTATATTTTCTGTCATTGTGTGGAATCGGGCGGAAAATCTTAACCACGACTCCGGAAGACCAAAGTGGATAAGCAGCTGAATGTTTCTCACTGGCAACTGTTCCTGCACCTGGCTATCGACGACCAGCATCAAGTGATTAGGGCTCTGAAAAAGTTTGTTCGAATTTATAGATAAACATGTAATCCAATAACTATGTTCTTCTACATAATATATGTTCATTTTTATGAAGGACAACTCACCAAGTTTGGTGACTTTGAAATGTCCACACATTGATGCCCGGCTCCTACTAAGAATACTTTTAGATCCTCCAGCTCCATCTGATTTTTGCAGTAGATCAACGTGCGCTTTTTGGGTCCTTTCTGTGCTGCCAGGACATCGAGAAGCTGGCTTGCCTTCACGGCGGAACTGCGGAGAATGACGTTAAATTTGAGACCCCCGTATAGGGCGGCCTCTAAGAAGTCCCCAAATAGTGTCAGTGGTTTCGTTGTACGATTTAACAGCTTCTGAAATCTCTCAGAATGCCATTGTTGAGCTACCAGCACTAACTGCATTGGTAGACAACCGATGCTATTTATTTTCTGAAACACTTCGTCCAGGAGCTCCGGGTTCTCCAGTCGCATGCGATCGTAGTCATCGAAGACTAGGAACTCTAATCTAGTCGGATCTACCAGCGGTAATTCATGGAACAAGATGTCCTTGAAGTGCGCCAATGTTGTCACTAAAACACCGCACGAATTGAGTAGAATCAGGTACGCATCTATCCTGGAATGAGCATGTGTATTGACCACCTTATGATTTTGTGTTTTGAAATCTCTCATTAGGAAATCGCAATGTGAAGTCAGCTTTTCGGCATTCTCTACAGAGTCCACAACCAGTATGGCCAGAGGACCCGGAGCGATCCGATCATCGAGGGTTGAAGTTACATTTTCCATTGAGCGCAACACGACAGAGCAAACCACGGGCAGGTAGCTCCAAGAGCGACCCGTTCCAGAGGGATTAACCAGCACCAGGGATCCGCGTTTCATGAGATGCGGCCAGGCGTACATTTGCGTGGGCAGGGCTGAGTGGAAGCTCAAGTCATCCAGAGCGTTCAGGATAGTGTTCCCTAATGGTAGCTTCTTGTAACTAGTCACAGGATTCACTGGCTCGTGACTGTGGGCCACCACTAGATGTTTTAGACAGACACTTGGTGTTTTATCACCCGTGCGTTTTGAGCGAGATACGTCCATCTTTACTCCAACTCTTTTAGTTGTTGAAACATTAGGATTTGGCATCTGGTTTCGACTTTTTTTTATATCTCTGTCGGAGGATTTTTTACCAACCATGTCATTAAATATCTGTTCCATTTTATCCATTGAAAAAAATACTGCTCGATTGTTCGATTGGTTGCTAATATTTTCATTTAAAGGTGCGGGCGATGGAGGCGTAAAATTAGTTCTTGGTGCTTTTAACACGGAAGTGGGCACAAATGAGGGCTTATATAAGGGCATCGATTTATGCACATCTGAGTTTGAATTTGTAGATGAAGAGTGCATGTTACGCGTTGTTGATGACACGGTAGTCTTTGGCTGATAGGAGCAAATTGTAGTATTTTGTTTTTCTGATGAAGTTTTCATCAGTTTCAGTTTTGATACACCTTCTGACGGATTTTCAGATCCTAGGTGTTTTATTTCTATTTGTCCATTTACGTCTAATAGATTGCTTTTATCTGGTATTTCTTTGATTATTTGTTTTGATCTATTAGCGAGCGCAGTTTGCACGGAACTTTCGTTGATACTTTGAATCTTGCTCAGGAGTTTCACTGAGTTTGGTATAAGATAGGTGTCGCGATTCTGAAGCAGGGCGTCTAACTTCTGCTGATGAATCGGAGAAGGGATTTTAGTCGATACTTCTTGCTTGTCTTTACTTGCCTTTACGTTTTTGGACAATACGATGGGCTCTTGGGGGAATGGATTACCGGCCACTAGTTCAATTATCCTTTTTACACGTGGTCGTGCTTTGATCGACATGTCGTTGATTTCGGCCATTTTAAACCTTGTATCCTCGTCAGAGCTGACCATGGCCAAAGAGTCGTTGTAGCGGTCTTGGTTCTGCGCTCTCAGAAAGTTTGCAGCATTCTCAGTCGGGCGTGGTGATCCGAAGCTAAGCATGCCGAAATTTCGATTCGATTGGCCACGATGTAAGACTTGAAATGTGATTTGATTGGCTTCCTCCAGTTGCTTGTCCAAAGCGTTGATGGCGGATCGGGGCCAGCCACTGTCGGAATGGGGAGCAATCAAGGCCACACCACCCTCTTTGAAGTCCCATAAACTGCGGCTCAAATGGTCAGGCAGCGGCCACAAATCCCGCACAGAACAGCAGAGGTTAAATCCGTAATCCTGGATCCAAACCAGGTACTCCTCGTCCTGCCTCGTGCACACCACACCCCTTAGGAGCTTGGGTGGCCTCCAGGGCTTGTAGCGCACAATAACTCCCTCATCCTTCACGTAAACCTGCTTTGTCCTTTCACTGGTGCAGTAATCCTTTAAATCCTGCTCTATTTGGCGAACCAACATGGCAGAGTTCTCCACATCTACGCATCTCACATAGCTGAATTGATGGGGATTAACAAACTGAGTTATCAAAATGGATTCTTCGCGGCCAGGATCCAGTAGGTGTTCCATTTTTCCTACATTTGGAAAGAAATCAGAATTGATTTTAATTATAGGTTTTAACATTTTATCACTACTTGTTGGAAAAGCGGCTCCTTTCTTCCCAACTGATTTTACTGGATAAACTATTTCTAAATTCAAATTTTTGGTAAATGTATGTTTTAACTAGCGAAAATTGACGGTTTGAATATACATAGTTGAGCTTAAAGTCCGCCTAACTTTTCCCTGTTCACTCATGTGGAAATTTCTGCGCGTCAGAGAACTTTGCCCAAAGCGAGCCAAAAATTGTGAAGCCAGCCACAGGATTAAATTTGTGGATTCGGATTGTGATTTAGTGAGGAGTAAATTAGCTAATTTAAGTTGGGCAAAAGCGAAAGCAAATGCGGCGAATGCGACGGCATCTGCAGCTTTCAAATGGGAAAACAAAGCAACGGGCTAAGCCACAAGTAAGGAGGTCCTTGTGCCTATTTGCTGTTTGTTTGCGCTGCACTAGATCCTGCTGCAGTGCCTCCGCCTCCCCTCCTCCACATCCTTGTGGCGTGGCAAGTGGTGCTCCACAATCGGCAGTGGGGCGTGCTGCAAGTTGTTGTTTTATCAACACTTTAATTGCCCGAGATGGTCTCTAAGCCATCTAAAATGAATGCTATACATTATTTAAGTTCCCTTAACACGTGCGCAAGTAAATAGGGAATCATTTGTCCAAGCAATTGGATCAATGCGATAAGCATCTCGATCCAACCCAAATTATACCATGAATAAGTGAGTGGTTTTTATAAAAAATCAAGAATAATGAAGCAAATAATATGTTAATCGGATCACTGGAATGGAATATGTTCAATATGAAAAGAACGTTCACAATTCTTATTTTGTTATAAACTTACCAAGATATTTAAGGATGTTTCAAAATGCAATCCAGTGCAATATTTTCTGAAAAGCAAATCATATGTAAATAGTTAAAAAATCGCTAAATAGTTATGGTTTAGTAAACATAATTGTAGTTACAAATGCATAAACTTCAATAATATCCAAGGCTACAACTTTCATGATGCGTAAAACCGAATAAATTCCAATGGGCAAACACTTCCAACTTTCAAACAAAATTCCAAGCAACATACATATATGTACATACATATGTACATAAATACCCACTTGTAAACAGAGAAGCGCCTGATTTCAAAGTGTCAGCGCAATTGGAAGGTCGTAAACAAAAACGCAGTTAGTGATTCGAGACACTTTTGTCTGGAAGGCAGAACAGAACTAAACGAAGAATCAGTTCACATATATAATTCTATTATATGCATACTGGAGAAAAGACAATTTATTATTTCCTATTTTATGTTGACGGAATCACAAGTTTTATTGCATCGCTAAAATAAAGAAGAAGAGAAGCTGGAAACTGAAGATTTCCTTGCAAATTAATCGATGTCTCAAGCTTTAAAAGATCGATATCATCTTTAATCGGAATAAATCTATTGATCAGTTAGGATATACCAAAATGTATTCAATATTTCCGACAATTCAAATTGAAATTCACTAACAAATGAATGTACGTTAATCCTATTTTTTGTAGCGATCAAAACTAGGGAAACATATGTACGTTTGTTCCCCTATAATTGATGGCAATCTGGTCGCAATAAATCCTTCTCACCCATTTCGCGCCTGCTAATTGCCAAACAAAATGCAATGATTCAACCCAAAACTACGCTTTCTTTTCCCAGCACAAATACAACTTTTTACCCCTTTAACGGCCACAATTTCCCTTTTTCACCCTTTTGTTTGCCAGGTCACCCGAAAAAGTTTCACCGAGCAGGGTTGTCGCATGCCCCCGCAACCATCACAACCCCTGCAGCATTCGCTTTTCATACTCGTTTTATTTGATTGTTTCATATTTATGAGGATTATATGGCTGAGGCTGAGTGCTGAATATCACAGAAAAATTGAGTTGGACGTGTGCTAATTTATTTTGCGGCTAAGAGGACTGGACTTGTGGTTAAGTGAAAGTCCTTTCTGCCTTTTAGTTTTACGTGCTGAAGATCCCAAAGAGTATAACGCATTTACCATGCAACAATATTTTTGTTATATATGTACATATATACGATTGAAATTGTATATTTATTAAAAGGCGTTTTGTGGTTCGTCCGGTGTCGTTGTTTTGTTTATATAGAAACTGTACATATAAGCGTTGCACACAACGTTCTTATCAATGATAAGGAAGGAAAAATTATTTTCCAAAGTATTTAAATTTCAATATTATTTGTAATGAATATATTATATTGATATTAATTGATATTATAAACATAAATTTCAATAAATAAAATATTTAAATGCCTACTTATGAACGTTTATTACAACAATATTTAACAAACAATAATTAAGAAATTATAAAAAAATGAAACTAGTCTTTGCGTGCGTTGTTCAATGGCATTATAAAAATGCGCAATCTAAATTAAAATAATCACAAATAAAATAATTTGTATTTGTAATATTAACCAATTATTATTTACTACTTAAAAAATAAATGGAAATTGGAACTAAATTTATAATTAATTGAGTTCGAGACGGGTTGGCAGTCCGATTGTGTGACGCAGCACTGCAACCGCTTCCCAACACTAGCCGATAGCCAGCCAAAATGGCGCCTGCCTGCTATCGCATTGCTCGAGCAAATACTATCGGTTCGGCAGCGCATCACACACACAAAGCGAAAAAAAAGAAAAATACGGGTGGCCAGCGAGCGAATATCTCCGAAATTCATTAAATCCCGTCGCCGAGATTTGTGCTCCGATTCGAGAATCCAATTAGCTCCCGTGCGCCGTCCGCCCAAGCCAGCAAAATAACCAAGTTCAACATACGCCTGGACAACATAATGTCGAAGAATAAAAAACTGTCGCTGTCGGGCGGCGATACGGCGGAGAAATTTATTTACAAACCCAAGGATCTGATATGGTAAGCCGGGACTTGAGGACCCATCAGTATATACCTCCGCTGTGCCGCTAACAAAAAAAAAAATAATGAAAATCAAAGCAAACACATAACCTCAATTGCGCACCGTTGGCGCTCCGAAAAAAAAAATAGGAGGAAAAAACCCAGTGTAGTGTGCATAAAAAAGCAATTAGCGCTGCCTCCCGACCGCCACGCAGCGCAATATCCGTGTAGCTCCATCTGAACAGCGACTACAATCCGGAGCTACATGCGTGGATTCCGGGCGGCGACGTCGACGTCTCTGCGTTGGCGCTTTTTTCGCGCGCGCGCCCTTTTTTTTCCTCTTTACGGCCAATATTAGTTTTCCGCCGTAAATTCGTCCTAATAGCGCATTTTCATCCATTTTCTTTGCAGGGCCAAAATGAAGGGCTTCACTCCGTGGCCAGGAATGGTAAGCATTGCAATCGGCGATCGGAATGTTTACGCCGCGTCGACGTCGCGTCGCTGCCGCCTCCTCTGCTGCCATGTTGTTGTGTTTGTTTTCGACTGTACTTTTCGATTCAACGCTGCCGGCTTCGCTGCCGCTGCTCTGCCCACAGCCACGCACTTGCACACATTGCCCCATTGCTGTTGTTCTTGCTGCTTCTGCTGCTTTTGCTTCTGCTGTAGTCGTCACTGCCGGTGCAGGTCGGAAAATGGTCTCTGCCATGGAGCCGCTATCGGGGGCCACGAGCTACAGCTTTCGATCGTGTGTACAGCCGCTGGAAACCAGCATGTGCGGCCGGAGGAGGGGGAGTGACGCGCGGCGGGCGTGGAGTTTGAACAGACGTTGCCAAGGATATCAGTTCCGCGTTTCGTTCTTCTATGGCACTTAAAAGGCATTTTCTTGTATATCAACATTCATTTAATATTGTGATGTACATATCGGTTCTGTGGAGTTTCGCTAAATATGCTAATGATAGTTAATCACCTCAATTTGGATTTTATCAAATTGATTTTGTGCAAGTTTTACTTATTGAAATCCCTGTGATATTTACTCCATGTAAAGTTAAACAAGTGGTTTTCGAATGCAATTTGTAGTTAACTATCATAAAGACAACATTTTGGATAGGTTTAGTTTCATGTGAGATAAATGGGGTATCACATAATAGATTAACGCTAAAAGTTCAGTGGAATTCATGGGACACCTTTATCGAGGCTGTGAGTCCTTAAATTTGTTCATTTAAACGTCTGCTTAAAATATTAAACATTCTGCAAGCTTGTTTAGAGTTTAAAGAGATGATAAAGCGGGTGCTAATTATAATTTCTCTCCTTAGATTGTCGATCCACCACTGGATTTGCTCAGCCAGCAGCGCCGGGCGAATACCAAATGCGTGTTTTTCTTTGGATCTAGAAATTTGTAAGTAATTTGTGCAATCACCACTCCCAAACGAGCCTGTAATAATACGGGTAATTTTAAACAGTGCCTGGATTGAGGAGAACAACATTAAACCCTTCGAAGGACCCTGGAAGGAGGAACTGGCCAAGGTGAGCAAGCCCGCTGCTTTCCGGCACGCCATGACGGATATCGAAAAGTACATTGACGACCCCGCCGAAGTGGACGAGCAGGTCAACAAAAGTTGCGGTGCGCCAAATCACGCCACCGAGGCTGATTTTGACAAAATCCGGGATGGCTTGGACAGCGAGGAGATTGTGGGAGAGGAAGCTACTGCCGATGCCAATAATGGAGTGGTGGCCCATGTGGTGGGCAGCCCTGATGACGGCGACGGCTTGGATGTGGAAATCAATGCAGATTCCTCAGCTTCCCCCGCCACAACGCCGGCGGCTACAACGAAGGCAGGTGGCAAGCGGACGCCTAAAGCCAAGTCCGTGGCCGCTGCATCGGTCAAGTCGACAAAGGGATCGGCAAAATCAGCACAGAAACGGCGCACCTCTGCCCAACAAACGCCCAGTGGGCCATCAAATGCCAAGCGAGGCAAGAGGTCTGCTTCCGGGGAGGCATTACAGGATGGGGATGAAGCCAGCTCCACGCCCACCGGCAGACGTCGGGTCGAGACTGACGCACTTTTGGCCTCAATCGCTGCCAAGCGTACACCGAATGCAATTGCTCTGCTTGACCGACCGGTTGTCACGCGACCAGAGACCCAAGTTATCGACATGAGTTCGCGCTCCAACACACTGGCCGATCGCGAAATCGTGGCTTCAGAGCAGACCTTCGGCTTCCTGGGTCTGGGCATGATGGGATCTACCATAGTCAAGGATTTGATCTACACGGGTCACAAGGTTGTGGTCTGGAACCGCACCATTGACAAGGTAAAAGCCCACTGCACCGAACTCCCCCATAAATCCTATAACAATCTCGTTCTGTAGTGCCAACCGTTTGCCGAGGCCGGTGCTGAGGTCAAGGACACTCCCATGGATGTTGTGGAAGCTGCCGACGTTATCTTTTGCTGTGTGTCCGATCCAAAGGGCGCCAAGGATGTAAGTCTTTAATGTTTATGTTAATATTTGGGAAATGCTTAAAACACCACGATGTTAACAGAATTAGAATTCGGCGTTTTTGCTTCTATTCAATTTCAGTCGCAACGCGTTTTGTTACCTTATATATTACATATTAAAGAAAGCACCCGTTAAAAATTATATCCAAAGTTAAAAATACGCGACACATTCCGACGATTTTCTGATGCTCTCATTGCAAAGCGATGTTTTTTCGTAGACGGCATAAAATACGTAAATTAAAATAAATTAGAATACAAAATAATTGTGAAATTGGGATGGCGTAATTTAACAGACGACAGAAACCTTGGAGCTGTTGGTCAATTCTTCTTATTTATACATTCTTCTCTTCGCCGTTTAGCTCGTTTTCGGCAACTGTGGAGTTCTGCAGCTAAAGGATTTGAACAATAAGGCGTACGTTGAAATGTCTACAATTGATCCGGACACTTCGTTGGACATTGGCGAGGGTATCAAGCAGTGCAACGGTCGCTATCTTGAGGCACAAATTCACGGCTCGCGCCAGGAGGCGGCAGATGGCATGCTCATCATCCTCGCCGGTGGAGATCGTTCTGTGTTCGAGGAGTGCCACTCGTGCTTCAAGACCATCGCCAAGAACACCTTCTTCTTGGGGAGTAAGTACAGCCTGCCCTGATGATAATTGCCTTAAGACAATTTATTAAAATACGTCGTTTGTTCACATCTAGCAGATATCGGTAACGCCTGCAAAGTAAACCTAATTTTGCAAACCATTTTGGGAGTGAGTCTGGTCGGGTTGGCTGAGGCGTTAGCACTTGGTAGGTTTTGTTTATTGGATTGTAATAAGCTGTTACAAATTGCTCATTTATATTGCTCTTGCAGCTGATCGTTTCTCCATTTCCCTGAACGACATCATAGACATTTTCGATTTGACTTCAATGAAATCACCCATGTTGCTGGCTAAGGGCAAAGGTATGTATAGCAACAATTATGTTTCCTAATGCTTTAGCAATAGTTATCACTTTGGTTAACACTTGCCTAATTCCTTTTCAGAAATGGCCAAGGGTGACTTTAATCCACAGCAGCCTTTAAGCCACATGCAACGCGACTTGCGCTTGGTGCTAAACATGGCGGAGAATCTGGACCAGTCCATGCCAGTCACCAGCATCACCAACGAGGTGTTCAAGCACACCAAGCGCTTGGGCTACAGTGAACACGATTCGAGCGCTGTATTCGTAAGATCCAGATTTTAACATTTAGTTAACACGACTAACGTTTAAACTATGTTTTATCAATTAGTTTAAAGCGTACACCGAACAGAACTGGACCGACATTGACACTGACACTGAAACATACCAAACAGGACAGTAACAGAAACACATTATCCTCACCTACCCACCCGCACCCACCAATCCAAACTGACAGAGGCGTCCGATTGCAAAGTTTCCTTGCGATTGGCAGCGCCATCCTAACCTTCTGCATCTTCCCCAATCTGCCCACATCAAAGCGTTTATTGCAATTTGGCTCCGACTCGCATTGAATCGCAGACCGTCATATCAGGTTCACCTGGTCTGACCTAGTCAGCCTGCATTGCTCGCAGGAGCCACTGAAGTGTGCTTGGGAAGTGTGTTCAACAGCTGGCGGATGAAGAACACAGTCTCACCGGTATTACTTCAATGAATGGTGCATTATACGACTTTAGAGTGTTTTTTTGTATTCTTTAACGGGTGAAACGCAATCCCCAGCGAGATGGGAGGCCAGGGCGCCGTGTTTCCGATTTTATGTGTGTAAGGTCTTGCTTTCCAAATATCATTTTTACGCATGTGCATACATAATTTGTAATTGTATAGAATACTGCATCCGAATAAAATGTACAGAACATACTTGTGAAAGACAACTCCGAATGTGAAATACGAAACGAATCATGGACCCCAAAGTGAGGATCAAAACTCCCAACCTCCCAATTTTTGTGCATTTACATTTTACACATTTTTTCTAAGAATAATGAGTAGGCTAATCGATCATACTGAGTAGAATGGCAAACGTGTTTGGAGTGACGGTAACGACAGATTGGTTTAGTTTTAGTTATCTTTCCTCATCTTCAACAAACGAGACAACCTGAAACGGAAAACGGAACAGAACGCACCACAACCGATACGAAAACATAAACTATAACAACCGGAAGCAAACAAAATAGCGTAAACTTTGATCGATCCCTTTGCGAGGATCGTTATTAATAATAATAATAAGAATATATAATAAATAATATATTTTACTTATTATTTAGTCTGTATTTTGTTGTAAAACAAAGATTAATAAAAAGATAATTTTAATAGAGGATGTAAGGAAATGAAATCGAGTTCGCATTGGAATCTTCACATTTCCTTGATATGGTTAATAATTCTACTGAGTGCAATTAATACATTTTATTGAAATTTAAATGCATAAAAAAATGTCCAAAGGTATTTTTCTTATTTTCTTGTTCACTTTTAACGTGAAGCAAACGGAAAGTATTTTTCGGTACACATTACATTATCTAAAAAATACTTAAGTTTATTGAATACAATTAATAACATATTTACATAGTTTCTAGGGCCAATAAAAAATAATCCACCCGATAAACTAAATTTAAATATTAACTACAGAGAACGGATTACAAAATTCAAAAATGACTAGTTCCGTTTTGAGTGGTTCCAGCGATAGTGCGTCTCGGGGAATAATCGCATCACGGAGTTGCTGGAAACATCGATAGTATCGCGTAAACATCGACTTTTGCTCCACCTCTATCGTGGATGTTTATGTGGTGCGTGTGTGGCAGAATTATTATCAAAATTATTTAAAGAATCAATTTTGAGCCCGCAGATCGTCACGCTTGATAGAAAATGTCGGAAAAGAAGCGAACCCGTCGCCGCAAGGATGTAAGTGCAACCTGTTTCCAATTAGATGGTCCTCAAGGGACTGCGCGTGCATGGGTGCCACAGTCCAATTGGCATGCCGAAAGTGTTTGTTTTTTGTTTTGATAAAAAAGGAGAAAAAACTTGTGCTCGCTGAAAAAAAAAAGAAAAATCGAATCGAAACGAAACGAAACGCTGAATTGCGAGATCAGATGGGTCATTCATTATTTTAATATTATTTGTGGGGGGCAAGTTCAGTGCAGGTTGCGCTGCTCTTTGGAGAAACCCCCGTGGAATGCCCCCCGCCTACAAAGGTCTATAATTAGCATTGTGGAAAATGTCTTGCGTATTTATCTGTATCTGGAATTTCGGTTTTAATTTTTTACTTTTCAGTCAATTGAGTTTGGGGTCTACAATACAAACAGCTGAGCTTGCAAGCTTTCGCGTATCTGGCAACGCTTGTAGTCCGTCTTGTAAGCCGATCTCACCAAATGGCTCGCGCTCTCCCTCTCGCTCATTACACACACATGTCAGGTGCAGGCCACTTATCAGCTGCTCTGGTTGTTGTTGTTCTTGTTGTTGTTGGGGAAAGTTTGAGTACGCGTGTATTTTGGGCAGAGGCTGCGTTCAAGGGGTTTGTTTGGCCCAACACAAACTTTTGGAACCATCGTTATACTCTTAAACCATTATTATATTCTTAAACAACTAGGAGTGTCAATCAGCTGTAGGCCCCTTGCGCTTTTTCCAACTCCGCCCCTGTTAGTATCCATGTACTGCTTGCTGTAAGCGTGTGTTTGTTTGTTGTGGTGATCACCAGCTCGTTTGACCAGAGTCAAGATTCAATACTTTCTAGACTCTCCGAGCGAGTGCAACACGTCACGGCCAAGAAAAACTACAGCCGCTTCTGGACTAGTTTTTCTATAAATTTAGTTCGCAGTTTTAAAGTTACATATAATAACTCTCGAAATGAGTGGAGAGGAGGAGTACTTCCAGGAGGAGGAAGAGGAGCAGGAGCAGGAAATTTACGACGATGGCACGGTACTAAGGAACAAATAAAAACCCACGTATTATAAAGCCATCGCAACGGCTTGAGGGTGACGAATACAAAATTGGTGTCGTGGCCTATATTTGCCTGTAGTCCCCCCCATTTACCCAATCGATCGTGAAAGTGAGTTTCTGACCTGGTTTTCGGACCGTTTTTCTTTTTTTTCGATAGGAGTACACCGAACCAGGTGCCCAGAAGGTGGACAAACCATCGAAGGACGAGAAGAACGTAGCCAAGTGGCTGAAGAAGAACGTTAAGACGAAGAAGACCAAGTTCCTGAGCCACATCGTCGAGTACTTCACTTCCAGCAAGGCCATCGATGCTCTGATGAAATCCAAATTCACCGAGGGCAACAATCCTCTGTTTACCACCCGGGAGCAGGTAATCGAGTTTCTAGACGTGATGTTGGAGCACAAGTTCTTCCATCGCGCCAAGAAGGTGCCCGTCACTTTGGAGGAGATCAGAGGAAAGTCTGGGGGCGACAAGAAGGCGGACAAGGAGAAGAACCAAGACAAGGAGAAGGAGAAGGAAAAGGACAAGGACAAGGCAAAGGACGACAAGAAGGACACCGATCCGGAAGGCGATAATGGCCAAGGAGACGGCGGTGCCTCTGGCAACGAAAAAGAGAAGGAGAAAAAGGAGAAGAAAAAGCGAAAGATCCGCCTGGATATGCATCCCGAGCAGATCTTCGTGGACGGCTCCGAGGCATACGTGTGGATTTACGATCCCATTCCGCTCCACTACTGGATATTCGGCTTCATCCTGCTGCTTGGCGCCGTGGGCATTTGCCTATTCCCCCTGTGGCCTCCACTGCTACGCAAGGGTGTCTACTATTTGTCCATTGCGGCTGCCGGCTTCCTTGTTTTCATCCTGGCTTTAACCATTGTACGTCTTATTGTGTTTATCATCGTGTGGGCATTAACCGGTGGCAAGTTGCACTTCTGGATCTTCCCCAACCTGACTGAGGATGTGAGCTTCTTCGCCTCTTTCTGGCCGTTATATGAGGTTTGTTTTGGATTATCCATTTATGTTAGTTTACTAAGTTCACTTTCCCTCCAGAGCAACTATAACAGTGACGCGAATAATTCGTCCGCTAAGACCGACAAAAAATCGAAATCAAAGGACAAGAAAAAGGAAAAAGATAGCGATGCCGAGGACACAGCAGTGGATGCGGATGGAGATGCTGACGGTGACGGTGATGTGGATGCGGAGGTTTCCACGCTTGAACCAGAGAAAATCGAGCTCATCAAAGAACACGACACAGACATGGAGATCCGCAAACGTCGCAAAGTGGGAGCCGACGAATACGAGGAAGACGATGTGGATGAAGAAGAACCGAAGACGCAGCCTAAGGATTCCAAAGCTGGGTAAGAAGGAACCGCTTAGTAATGACCAGGATTCCTGCTATATTGCTCGAATTTGTATTTATAATTTCTTATATTTCCGTCGAAGTTTTGGTTGTATGTTTTTCATACAGTAACCTAAACCATATTGAATAACGCAAAAGACATACATTAACTCTAGCTTTTAATTGTAAAACTTTTGTTCCTTAATAAATAATATTGTATAATTAAAGTGCGTTAATCCTATTCCTTGGTTTGAGTTCATAACAATTTTATTTCGTTTACGGCATGTCATTTGTAAATACATTTGTTTCGTGATTTGTGGAGGCTCATTTTATTGGTAGTTGGTTTTCGTTGACTCATTTTTACGATGCTTGGTGATTTCGTTACTGGTGATATTAGAGGTATTTCAAAGGTGATTTTCCAATTCGTTGCAATGCAAATAGAAATTCAAATCGTAAGTTATCGCATCAAAGCAGAGTAAGTTTTGCATCCCATTCTTTTGATTTTACTTGATTTTTATTGAATTTACGGTTTTACATTTCCTTTTAATGAATGCTCTTACATTTTTAGTAATTTTTCCACTTTTCTATGTTGCTTTCAGAACGCCACGCAACTCGGGATCCGATTCGGAGAGCTCGAGTAAAGATTACGAGATAATCAGTTCAAGTGAAGTCCAAAACGTTGCTGGCAACTAAGTTGAAGAAACCACAATATATAATATTTAATGATCCACATCTAGCTAATTGATAAGGCATAGAACAAGAATCACACATCAAGTACATCAGCACACACACGATTCCAAGAACAGCGAATTATTGTCCCACAAAAAATGCGATCGGTGTCGTAATTTTGATTGATGATTTCCAAATCCGCTTAAAGTTGAGCTTAGGTTTGAAGGTTTCCAATATTTTTTTTGGAAGTAGGCGTGCATATGAAACAATATTTTTAAACGCAATATTATATAACCCAGACACATTTGGTTTATTACCAGTTTGCAGTTGAACCTCGTTTCGCCGCAAAAGTTCTCAAGCCGTTAAACAAACTATATATTACTTGTATTCCTATGTTTGTAAATGTATACAGCAGAGCACTAGGCGGGTGCAAGAAACGATTGCAATTGATAATAATCATAGCGAGTACGTAGATGTGAGCGCATACGTTTCTATGTGCATAAATATTTACTCTACATGTAATTAAAGCAAACTAACAACTTAATGAAATTAGTAGTATAACACGCAATTAACTATTATATAAATAAAGCTAGGCAATTCTGATCTGATGTGAGAGATATTTGAGCGTTTTTTAGTTCTTGCTCGAACGTTTTATTAAAAAATATACAACATACAATTCGTCTTTAAAATGAAACTCGTGGTAATACTGGTATTCAAGGGATTGTAAACTAAACGCCCTACAATTACGTTTGACTTTCATCTATGACCACACTTATCTGAAACGTCCTTTCGTTATGTGGAACTGCTATAAGCAAATAGTCTTTACAATTGTTGGCGAATTCTCGTGGGTCTTGGTTCTGGGACAAAACACGTGGCCTTATAATCCTACTCCGTCCAATTCGATCTACTGGATCGTAGACTGTGAGCTTGGCGAGAAGTTTTGCACAGGAGTTACAACCGACCAGCCAGAAGAGCACGCCGGCTAATGGATCATCCTTCATCATTTGTGGAGCAGCTAGTAAGGCCAGGGGATGATTCCGCAGTGGAATTGATCTAAGGGGGCTGTGTTTGGATTATTAAATGGATTTCCTTTTGAATGTCAGTAGCTAACCTTTCCTTCGTTAAACTGTTGTAAAAGAGTAGTGCCACGAAAGTGTTTCCTTTGGTGAGGAAATCGCCATCGAAGGAGAACTGCCTTGGTAAGCCTTCCACTACTTTATGGCAATATTCCTGCGACAGAGCACTTTCGTTTTTCCTACCTCTATGATCTCGCTTAAAATGGGAAGCAAATGTGTTCGACTTTATAAGGCATCTGCACATGTAAATGGGACAGTAATACTCTTCTTCCAGGCTGGATTCCGAAGCATCCTTCACAGTATTATTTGGATTAGCTGAGCCCATTGAGACTACTTGCCAGTTCAGAGGGGGCAATCCTTTATACTCGGTGGTTCCACAGTTTATTCTGGGTCCCGATGCTGCATTAGAATCAGTTTCTATCTTAGATTCCAATGTTACGCCCTTTAATTCAGAGTCTCTGGGGGAGTACGGATTGGCTAATAGACGTAGTGGCTTTTTACTTGAATTTATTTCCTGGGAGGAACTTGAAGAAGCTGTTTCCTTTCTTTTATTGTTATTACTTGCTTGTATAGCAGAATCCATAGTTTTGGTTGTCACTTCTAATTCGGATTCTTTCCTTAAATAAGAGTCTATATTCTTTCCTGGCCTCAGTATTAGGTTTTCTTGTGAAGAGCTTTGATTCAATTGTTCGAAAACACCTAATTTATTTGTAAATGGCTCCACAAATTTTTCAACTGAATCTGAATCAGTTGATCTTAGCAACTTTATCGGTTTATTCATTATTTTCTTGATCTTCAGTTGCAGGGATTTGTCTATTTGTTTTCTTATCTCATTGCTCAATTTCGAGGAATTGTATTTTTGTACCGCTAAAAGTTTCTCCTGGTACAATGGCTCTTTCGAATTTTCTTTATTTTCTTTTGACCTCGGAAACGTTTCAGTCTTTGGATTGGATTCTTTTAATGGGAATTTTTCTTTCGCTAAACTTTCTAAATCATGTGATGTGTGCCATTTCGAGTGGCTCATATTGCTGTCACCCAAGTAACTTAAATTGGCATCTATTAATTTTATTGGCTGAGTCATTCTATCCTCCTCTGCCCTCATGCCACAAATAATATCTGCCTCGGAAATATGGGGAGCATAGTAGGTGCTGGTATGTATCTTCTTCTTATGCACCATTTGGGTTTCATATTCAAGCGCTTTGTCATTAGATTGGCTAAAACTATCTGTTTGCCGAGTGGTGAACGATAATTCAAGTTCTTCGTACTGAATCGCGCGACTTTCATATTTTAGTGGATGGTCTGGACTAACAGGTAGACTCGTATTTTTGTGGATTTTAGGCTTTTGGATTCCCTCAGATGGTAGTTTCTTTGGACTTGCTGTGTGGGGTATAGGAGTACCGCTTCCGCTCTTATCATCCGAACTTTCACCAAGATTTCGATAAGATAGCAGTTCGGTGGCACTAATGTCAGGCAAACGGAACTCAAAGAGAGACGGAGGATAGTCCGGAGGAATATCTTCCTTAATATAGCAGTGCATGGTTTGACCGATATCCACCAACTCCCTTACGAAGGTAGCCACCTGTATTTTGGGGATCTCTTGACACTGATGCGATACGGTATCGAAGGTTTGTATCACTCCGATGTTGGTCGATGGTTCCTTATGTCTACATAATCGAATGTTATTAGCCGGTACTTGAGGTGGGATTATCTTGGAAAGAGTTTTGCTTGGTTGATCATTGATTATGGGTGGACTAGGGTTAACACTCAATGGCGTTTGATTTGGTATAGTGTCCATTTTATATTCTTTTTCTTGTAATTTTCTATACTTCAAAGTTCTATGCATTTTAAAATTCTGATGACAAATTCGTTGTCCTTTTCTTTGAATCTTTGTATTTAGAGGTTGCTCTTGTATAATGCTCCCATTCGGGATTTCTTCCGGAGCTCTTGGCCTTGGAATACGTGGATTTTCCCTGTAAATCTCTGGGATTAATCCTTGGTCTGCCATTTTTGGCGATTTCTCCTTTTCGTCTTTCACTTTTATAAATTCTTGTACTAGAGAAAGTGATCTTACGCTATTGAGTCTTTGCTTTGTTGCGATTCCTGTTTTTTTATGCAGCCTGATTTCATTAGTATCTGTGTTAATGGAAGCATCGGGATTTCTAGGAATTCTACTATACTCTGTTTTAATTTTAGTAACCATATCCTCACGCTGTTTATGCTGCCCGCAGCGGGCACACTTATATAATGACGGTTTGGATTTGGCACTGTCATCTTTTTTATCACATCGTGCCCAGATAGAACTGCTTAGTGTGCTTGAAACGGGTTGGGAATAATCTTCGTAGTGGTTTGTTTTATTTGAAGAAAATACAGTTTGCTCATTTGATACATCACTTTTCAAAGATACAGTTTCGGAGTCCTCGATGAACATGTCGCTGATCGTCTTATTAATTTCCTCCAATTCAGGGATTTTGTCGCCCTCGCCGTTTCCATGTGAGCAGAAAACTTCGTCCATGATGAAGGCTAAAATAGAGGATCTCTCGGGCTTTTCAGACTCTTCCGGCTTATATTCTGGAGTGGCCTGCTCAAGAACTGCTGGGTCGGAGGGCAAGCTGTTCAGTGGGCTCGTTTTACCTGAAATCTGGCATTCGTTTCCAATTTTATTCATGGTCGTCATGAGATTTTTGCGAACTGAATGCGTCATGAATAGGATTCCTGATAGATTGTCAGCCATCGGATTCGGGACGTCCTTGGCTGAAGAGGCTGAGCTCCACTTGAAGTTCAAGGATTCAATGCGATTGTTGGGCAAGTCCTGGCGTGGTTCGATGTGCAGCGATTTCGGGCGATGGAGTATATAACGAGCGCTATTCCCAACAAGAGCATCTTCCGAGGGACCTTCATACTGCTCGAATGGGCAGAACTGGCTGGCCAGCTTGTAATCGGTAGCCTTGGAGTCCTTGGGGTCCGTGGAGCTGCTCAATCCACCACCCAGCTCTCTGCCTTCCGTCGAGTTTTGGCTGCTCAAGATGTTGGTTAGTACTTTGGAAAGAGGTGGCAAGGGGCGACTCCTGTGGCTGCGCGGAGGACGAGTGCTGTTCCTGCTCCTCTTGGAGATAGCTCCTCCAAAGGTGTCTGTAATGGGACTCTGCAACGGTATAAAGTTGCTGACAAATAGATTGCTGTAGTTGTGTAGTAGGTTGTTTTTCGGATTGAAAACGGTGTGGGCCATGGCCACCAGGCTTGGCATTTCCGAACGTGGTGACTCCGATGCTAGGCGAGGAGGTCGTGGTGGTGCTGGGGGCGATGGCGGTGATGAAGGCGTTGGAGATGACGATGGCGTCGAAGGTGGCGGTGCTTGGGGCACCTGCTGTCGACGGGGCATACCCTTCGGTTTCGAGTACAAGCCATGAAGCCCCGGGCACAACTTGCTCCTTACCACTTTGGGCGCTTCAATAGTTTCGTGGCCAGCTTCTGCTCTGGCTAAGCCACCACACTTGAGGCAGTTCGTCCGGCAGCTATGCTTGGCTTTCGGCTTCTTTCCCCTAATGGCTACCTTTACCCGAGTCACTTGGCCTTTTCTGGGCTCCTCCACGTGGCGTTGCTCATGGATATTCGTCTGGTGCTCGGCGCCCTGATCTGCGTCCTCATCGCTGGCGGAACCGAGTCCAGCCTCGGGGCGCCTGGCCAATCCGCACACCTGGCAGAGCAGATGACGGTTCACCGGAATGTGGAGCACCGCCCGCGGCAGTTTCTCGCACAGGCACCACTCCCGCGGCCAAGTTACCCCACTGACCATGTTGTTCATGTACAACGAGTACAACTTGTAGAAGCGAAACATCAAGAGCTAGTTTTTTGATTTTTAAGCGGGCAATCAGGTCGAGATACTTTACAAACAACCAAATGGCTCAAAGATTCCGGAAATTTTTGTCCGTTATGTTTTTTGAAAACACATTCCTAAATATTGCCTATTTGCTTGTTGCTATCGAATACTTCTAATATTTAGACATATTTATCAACTCCTGGACGAGATTGTGTTTCAACAAATTTTTGTTTCTTTTATGTGAGTAGTGCAAAGAGAATGCAGACTTATCTTTAAGTTGAATCATTTGTAACACATGTTTTACCAGCAGGCATTTAAAGTAACTTGTTATTAAATCACTAAATCAGATTGATCCTTTCAGAACTCGCAATCAACTGTTTTCTTAATTAATTTTATTCAGTGAATATAAGCCAAACTCTACGTTATGAAATTATTAAAATTTCCTCTTGTCTTTGTTTGCGGTTTCTGTAATTTGCTATTGAAGTTTGTGTGGCCGAATGGCTCTGATTGTACGTGTTCTAGCCGCACTGAGTTTGGAAATTTAATTAAGTTTGTGCTGCATTTTTAATGTACGCATTCAATGGAGTATTATTGAGTTTTTTGTACAATTGTCCGAACGAAGCAGATTCCCCTGAAAGCAAGGCGGCGTCCTTCGGGAACCATTCACCAAATACTACGAAATAAACTATGCATACCGCCCACTTCCTGCAAAAAGGGATTAGTTTCAAACCCTTCTAAGTGAAAATGCATGTTTCATATGTAATTACTGCTCGGCGAGGGGGATTACACTGCACATGCACACACATACGAGTATTGTATTAACACTGCCATTCAACCGTACTTGGAATTTATTTCGCCTTTTATTGCAATAAATATGCACCATGCAAGGTGCATGCAGTTGACCAGGCCAAATTGCCGACTCCTTCGGCAGCACCTTGTTTAATTAACTTTATAGCATTTGATGGATTGGCCTAATCCCCCAGCCCAGCCCCACACCCAAGTCCAACTCGTTTGCAGGCCAAGTCAATAAACACATTAAGAGCGCATCGCCTTACAAATGCCCGGCATCTTCGGCTCATTGAGCAGCTTTTGAGCAGCAGATTCAAGGGTTGAAAGTTGAGAGTTGAGGCCAAGGCGTTTGGCAGCGAATTTATGCACTCAAATCAAGCAGGTCGATAAATTATGCAGCCAGTCGCTATCGCTATCCAGCCGGGAATTACTTAGTTCCAGTCGCATTTTAGTTGCTCTGTCCATTTTGAATTACACGCCGGCTGGCCGGGATTTATGCGCGCCACTGGCCATAAAAATATTATGCCCAGACTACAGACTGCAGCCCCTTTGGAATCGGCGCCTAATTGTTCAGCATCGATTGTATTTCAATATATTCGACAACGAGGACACCGAGAAAAATAACTAAGCTGTAACTAATGCAAATTCGTTTTGTTGAAACCACTTGTAAAGATGTCTAAAACTTAGCCGCTAAAGTAAAGCGTCTTTAATGAATCGTAGCACACTTTAAAACACCTTTAACAACCATTTTTAAACCTTTAGGCATCTTTAATAAAGCTAAATATAACCTACGTTTAGTTCGAAGTAATTTTACCATAATTGGAAAGTGTTTTTCACCCTGTACTCGACGGCAAAGTCACATCGATGACTGCGATTGGAGCAACAGAATTATTTACTCCCTGGTGAGGCATTTTAATGCGTTTTTATTGCGATACTTTTAGCGTCATTTCATTTTCGGCATTTTCCTTGCCATGGCATTTTCCTGCCCCCCATCCCGCCCATTAAGCCCCTTTGGCTTTGCCTCGCCAGCCGTAATTTTTGTAATTTTTTGGCGTGGCTTTTAGTTGGCGTTTATTGCATTTCCTTCTGCATTTAAGGAACGCACGCCCGACCGGAAATTTAATGTGTGGTGCAACTATTTGAGGCATGCACATACGCAAAACGGGGCATGTCGAGGGTCAAAGGGCAGCAGCTGCGGGGTCGGAAAATCCGGGTTTGTCGATGGTGGGGATTGCTGGCCAAGGGCGAGAATATTTCTGCATGCAATAGGAGGAAAGTTGTCCGGAAAATGCATCGCATTCGCTGAATGCGTACGGGAGATGGTCTTGGTTTTTTTCGCTTTGCCCAGATCAAAGGTACAAAAATATATACGAGTACATGTTAATTATCCGCAATCGCAGCTGTTCCACCTCAATTTTAATTACGGAAGCAATTCTCCAGCAGTTCCACAAGCTATTCGTTTTGGTAAATTCCAATTGTATATTAAATACTTGCCATTAAGTTTTAAGCAAATTTTAATTACAATGCCCTCGCTTCCGCCATTTAACACAAAAACAATTTCCGCCCGGGCATACATATTTTAGATCAAATATTGCAACTGCTGCATGGAGTCAGCTGGAATGGGCGTCCTGTGGGCTTCACTGGGCTCCAAGAGTGGAGCTGGGATGCGGGTGGTGGTAATGGTGGTAATGGTGGAGGTTGCCTAAATGGTCTTTTTTTCCACTTGGCTGGGCGGCTGGGCGCTGGGCGGCTGGGCTGCCCCATGAAATATGAAATTCAGTTCGTGGCTACGTGACTTGGGAGTGTCTATTTTTCAGCAGGGGTGCTGCTGCACAAACGCATCCCCTGTTTACTTATTTAACACAATTTTCACATTTCATAATTCAATGTTGGAGTTGCAGTTGGCGTTGGAGTGTTTCTGCCACAAAACGATGGGCGGTGGGCATGGCTGCTGTGATACGCATGCGTAACCCCGCTTTGGGGCATTCAGGGAGGTCCCACCACAACGTACCTTCCGTTTAATGTTCCCCATCTTGCAACTGGTGACTGCATGCATTTCTACTCCGTTTTTTGGCCACTACCCTTATACTAGTTGTATACATAAGTGGAAAGCGCTGTCTGGGATCTCGAAGCGAGACGACAACCTTGAAAGGCACTCAACAAATAAAAGCGAGCACTTCCTGCTAAACTCCGTGTGTCCTTCGCTCACAATTATTATACATAGTTCCTGTTATTGCACAGGCACATCACGTATCCGCCGTGTTGGCCCACTCACGGACTCGACTCCTGATGCCTCTGATGCCTCTGATGGGGATGAAGTTTGCCTTTGAACCCCGTGTGCCTGGCACCACAAAACTTGCACTTGATTTGCAAGTGAAGCTTACACGGCAAAAAATACTTACGAAGCACGGAATTTCAGCTGGTCACGGCAAGCCATGCTTAATTTTTAATTTGAATGGCGTGGTATACGCAAGTTTTCTGCATTATTACTGGAAATGAGATTGGCTTAGCTGGCATAAATTGCCTTGTTGTTTTTTGGCATGACCCATTTGTGGCTGCTTTCTTGCAGTGCAGAGGATGATCATCTGGGCGGGATGTGGCAGAGGTGAAAGGTGTGCTGCTGATTGCTGCAGTGTGTGAAGGAATGTGGGCCTCGATGGGATTTGATTGATTGCAGCATGGGAGGGAATCAGGTGGCTCGGCAGGCGTTTGGTCAGGAATGCAAATCCCTGTCGTTTCGCTTTAATGGCTGTTAATGGAGCGGTCTCTAGGGTATCCTTAATATACAAATCAGGGAACTGCAGGATTCCCTTTACCATGTGGAAGGCTGTTTCGTGGCGAAGCTGCTTTTGGGTGGGCCAGTAACTTCCGCTGATATAAAAGCACTTCTAAAGGTAATTGTTTAAAAATGGACTTTATTCAGTTATGGCGCAGCACTGTCCTCTGTGGCCATACACATGCATATGCATATGCATCCGCATCCGCATCCTCGCCCTCCTCCGACTGCATATAGTGCTCCATATAGTCCATAGATCGGCTGTCTAGTCATGTGTGCGCGCTGTCCATGTAAATTTTAAGCAACTCTCCAAACTAACAACCGACGCAAATTGCTGCTGTTGCGGTTTATTTTGTGTTGCAAAAATATGCAGTGCCCTGCCCTCACCGTCTGTTCCCGGTTCCTGGTTCCTGAATCCTGAATCCAGAATCGTGGTTCCCGACTCCAGTCCCCTGCATCTGCATCTGCATCTCCCCTCTATCCTCGCAAGGCCATGGAGATCTGGGGGATGCAGATTGGACGGGTGCTCCTAGTGGCGCATTGTTGGGCCTGACTTTTTGCTGCCCGGAATGTGCGGAGTTTGTTTGTTGTGATGTGTGTGCTAGTTGGTTGGCTGGTTGGCTGGTTGGCTTGGCGGGCTTGTTATTTTACCCAAAAGCTGTTAAATTGCTTGAAACAAAACAGTGAAGCTTCATGGGAAGAAACGGCTGTTTGCGGAATAAGGGAGCTGCGGGGGTTCCGCCTGCGTCCATGGCCATAAATATTAAAGTGGGTGTCAAAAGGAATATGTGGTGCGAAATGCTTTGAATGCTGCTGTTTCGAGCATCCAATGAACGTGCGATTCGGCAATGAAATAAATGCCAGAGCCCTATGCAAAATCCAAGAACGTGCCAACGATCCCTTTGCCAGATAGTCAGTGAAATGCTAGCTACTACCGCATTAATCAGAAGAACAACCAAATGCGTAGACATGTGCCCCCAAATCCCTGGACAGGCGTACCTTATGGCCCAATGAAAGTTTCCACTTAAACGGGGATTAATTAAAAGTAAAAACTTGGCAGTGCACCTTGAATGAAGAGTTTGCCATGCATGAATATTTTAATCAAAAATCTTGTGCTCAAGAGAATGAAAGAGCAGTTTTTTTCGGTTGCACTGGCCATAAGGATTTGCCTTTAGCTGCGAAACTTTGCTTAAAAATTAAAATTATGCAAGACCAAGTTTTCTCGTTTATAGAGCAGCGAGCAAAGTGAAAAAAAGAAGGAATTGCTCCTTATTATTTATTGTGTGCCCAAGCCTTTTCTTCTGATGTGTTAAGAAATTATGCGGATCCTCTGACATTGAACTCGCGAACTACTGCTGGATCCGGGATTTTTATTAAGTTTCAAACGCTCAAGAGCTTTGCATTTTATCTGGCTGGCAGCCTTTGAGCGGGCTTAACTTTTCGACTACGCAAGGCATCGAGTCCTTCTTATTTGTTATGAAAACTTCGGTTTGGCGGCCTTCCAGGGGGCTACGACAAGTGCAGCCTGGGGCTTAACGTCTATGAAAGGCCCGTCTCGGTGCGAAGGGGGTCCTTTGTGGGCGAGCAGGTCCTGGGATGGCGGCAGAAGGAGCGGTGCGTCCTCGGCCTCGAAACAAGTTTACTCCTTAGTCCTGGCTGCTTACGGGGAACTGCTTGTTTCCTGCCACTTCGTGTGTGGCTATGTGTGCGTAGCACCACTTAGTTTGTTTGGGCATGGGATGCTGTTGGCTTCCTAAACGGATATACCGACTTCAAATAGTTTTTTCCTCTGTGAGCCCCATTCTTGTATGCTTCTTTACGAGTATTCCGCTTTTTCCAGTTGTTGCGGTTGCACTTTTTGTTTGTTGCCGGCATGAAGCTGGCGGTGTGGGCTCGGGCTTGGGTTCCTTTGCCGGATTCGCCCAGAAATTGCGGACGGAATCGGGATGCAGCAGCACGTGCCAGAGGTGTTCCAACTCCGGCTGCTCCTCGGCACTCCGTAACTCGTGCCAGGCAATGATGAGTTGTGGAATATTCCCGGGGAGCCGGACTGGGTGTGGGCCACAGCCAAAGGACTTCTCGACTTTGCGACCCTGCCTGCTGATACGGAGATGTGCGCTGAAAACTCAAGTCTACTGCTACACCTGAAGAAATTGGCAAAAACATTGGGCCTTCATTGTTCTATTAAATGTAGATAATATAATATAGATGGGTCAGAAGTTTCTAAAACAACAAGTCAGCCAGTTCTATTGGCAGAAAAGTCCTGTTTCCTCCTGTGAATTTCATTGAACCGCATGGTTGCAGTGCATACTTGGCAGTTATCTGGTCCAGTGTTCCCCACTCGCAACTTGGCTATCCACACTGGGCTGGGAGCGACCCAGGAGGCGCTCGAAGATGCCCGGATTCGCAGGACTCTGTGTTTGGTGTTTGGGGCTCGGTTCACTTGCTGCTTTATATTTACTAAGAGGCACTTGAAGTTCATCGCTTACAAACATATTTTCACTTCGTCCTTCCCCGGATCCACATCCACATCCACTTCCACAACCCCAACGTCCTTGGAGAAAGTGCTTATCGCTTTATGATGGGTTCTGTTCAGTTCACTACGGCTTAGAACTGGTATCCTTTGGAGCCCTCGGAGGGAATTTAATACTTGGGTGTGTGGCCAGGAACAGGTAAATGCGGTAATTATGACCTTAAATTTCTGTTGCCATCGTTCGACAGCCATTAGGCCAAGCTATCTGGGTTAATTGTTTAACAACAGGCATCAGCCAGAACCGACTCGAACTTAAATCATCCTTAAACTTTTACTGATAGCTTTAAATAACATGCGGCCACTTTTTTCTGCATAACTACGGAACAGTTTGGAAAAATGAGCTGCATAAATTCATTGGGCGTTTTAAGCCACCGCCAACACGCAAGACAATGCCCCACAGTGTGTGGCAAAAACGGGACCAGGGATGCGGCGGGGATTTGGCTGGGGGCATGGGGTTGTCCCAGCATAATCACACCTTGACCACCTGTCCGCGCTGACGGTTGTTCGCCCCTTTTTTCAGCCCCATGGCCGTTGCAGTGCATTTAATCTCGACAACATTTCCTTTGCCGCAGAGGACGAGGGCGAGGACGCAGCCCATGACATTTCCTACCTGCAGTCCCTCCGCGCTTCCTTCCGGCCCCTTTTTTGGCTCAGCCCTTTACTGCTGGCGACGTTGTCGAAAACAAAAATTAGTCCTGCCGTAAAATGGGCAAAGGAAGTGGTAAGTACCTGACCATCCATCCACCCAACCAACCGATGCGACCGTCCACGCCATCGGCCGACTGCAGTAACCGACTTTGGCAGTAAAAATTCGTAATGTGCTGCTAATTAAGTTCAAAGCATAGTTCCAGGCGCTGTTCCCGGCCAGTCTAGTCCTCCTGCATTGAGTCCTGTGCCATCCGCAACCGCCAAAGGTCCTGGCGGAGGAGCGCCGCTTGGCGGAATGGTTGGATGCGTAGGATGGGGCTGTGGTGAGTTTGGTTCTGGCTCGGGCCCGTTGACAGTCGCAATCCTCAGTGAATTTTCGTATGATTGCCCTGGAAAATCCACCGGCCCCTCGAGGTCGGAGTTGTCCGCTTTGTGGCCGGCACATCCTTTATCCTTTATTTCACGCAAATAAAATACATAAATTGATTCCGCCCTCAAAGGAGTGGCCGTTGCCGTGGCCTCACCGGCTATCCTTCGACCTCAAAGCATATCCAAATCCTCTACAGTGGCAGCTTTGCCAGCACTTCGGAAATAAGTTTAAAAGAAAAGGTTTCTTAATATTTTCAAAAATGTTATATAATATAATAATTCCAATATGATTGTATGTGCTCATAGAAACTATATCTTAACGTGTGGAAGTAAGGTTTACGAAATGTTGATCCGAAGTGTTAAGTAACTAGCAAATTCTTCGTTTATTACTGAATAATAAATTGAATATTACATTTTGAAAAATAAATGTTTTGCTCTGTGTGCATGACTTTGATTGTGGAGCTTATAGTAAGCCGAAAATTGCGGTCTGAGGAGCAAAGGACTTAACTGGCGTGTAAATATTTTGCTTTAGCGAAGGCTTGGTCATCATCAAGATACAAGGACCCTTGTGAAAAGCAGCGGACACTTTTGACAGGTAGCCCAGGGGAAAGGTGTGGGGCACTTCATTTAACGCCACTTAGAAGCAAATACACCCCATCGTGCACATTAAATTTATAATTGCATAGATTTAGACGGCATTAAAAATGCAAAATGCGTCTCGTGCCGCAGATGCGGCAGATGGAGAGCGGAAAATGGGGTATGAAAAGTGGAAAATGGGAAACGGGGTAGCTGCTTGCTACTCGCAACTTCATCGGGCGCTTTTGCAAAGTTTCGTCGCCTTATTTATATGCAAACTGCACTGGCCACAATGCAACTAATTGCCACTGAGTTGGAATCCGGCAAAAGAGCCTTTTTCAAACTGGTTTCTGATGCGGCCAACGTGGCCGTCTAGTGTTGATTAAATACTTGCCAACTGCTCTGTGCCATCAAGGGCCATTTTGATATAGGGGCTTGCGGCCAGTGATATCGGGGCTGTCATTTTTGCCACTCTGGACCACTTGTTGTCACTGAACAAGCTGGCAAACATGGAGTTTGGCCAGCCGTTTTGCATGGCGTGCGAATGCAGCCAGGACCACACTGAACAGCAACGCAACTGTTTCGAGTTTAGAACCACGCCTTATTGCGCCCGGGGGCATGCAACCATATTTGTCGTGCAGTTGATAAAACTGTCCTTAACTGCCCTGCCGTTATCCTGCCCGATGGTGGCGACGATTCCGCTCGCAGGACCAAAGAGTCCTGCCGCATTGTCGTTCTGTCTGATGAGTTTTTAAGTACAGACAATTACAAACGACAACCGAGGAGCAACAAATGCAACAAATGCAACGAACGCAATCAGCCAGCCGCACGCCAGCCAAGCCAGTGCCACGCCCCATTTCGTCCTTGGTCCTTCAGGGCCAACCATCCCGCCCCTCCTGCCCCCAAAATCGCATTTCTGGGCGATGGTAACCATCTCAGGGACCTGCGTTTGCGGTTATCACATTCTGCTGGGCAGTTTAGCTGCGTAATTGAATTAAATTTCGTTTTAAAATGTAAAAGGCTTTTGATTTGGCTTGCAGTCCTTGATGTTGTTTCGTACTCCATAAAGTAATTAACATTTGTTTCAATTCCTGAGAACCAACTTTGGACCACGAGCTGGCAAATCCCACAAAATGGGAGTAAATCAACGATAAGTCCTCCTAGACTGGAATTTAGATTGGGTTTCTTATGCAATAAAAACTACAACCAATTTAAGACCTTTGAGCGTGTATTGTGGCGTCAGGCAGGGAATTAAATGAATATAATTTATACAAATCAAATGACTTTCGGTTACAATTCCTTTTCATTTGCACAATTCGTAATGCAATTTTATTATAAAACCAGTTTCAAAGGCAAAACAAAATTCAAAGTAATCATTCTAAAAAACGTAATTAAAAAATAATATTCCTTTGGTTGTCAATAAAGTAGCTTCGAAATGGCCGGAAAATCCCTGGGCTTTCACCACAATATCGATAGTGTGCGTTGGTACCGTGGAATGTCCACCGTACAGATGAAAGCCTGCGATGGATTGCTGCACGCTCTACGGGATGACATGGAGCAGGGCTCCACTTACCGAGTGCGCCGCTGTCTCACCCAGTTGGGCATCCATCCGCCGGTGGGAGCGTCGCAGATCAAGGATATCATTGCCATGAGTCAGGGCAGCGATCTGGCATTTTTGTGGTTCTTGTGGGAGTTCGCCTACAAGAGCCCCCGAAAGAGCAGGAAGGACAATTGGCACTTGGATTCGGAGCACTACACGGTGAACGAACAGCTGCTGTTGTCTGCTATTGCCCATTTGGATATGCCCTCCACCCTGAGAGCCTTGGATGCCCTGCTGCCACCTGCCACTCAATCGAAAAGGATGAACTCGCCAGCTAAGACTGAGCAGAGTTCTTCGAAGACAAACCGCCGAAAACCGAAACATTATGCTCTGCCATATTTTGCTCCTCAGGTTCGACCTCGTGAGTTTATACCAAAATCCAAATTCCGGCCACCCGAGACCAAGGTTAGCTTTCCGGAATATTCGCACTATAAAGATCGCATGCATCAAATTCCGAATGAGGGGCCTCGTTGGTTTGCCCAGTACCGATTGAGTCCTGCCAAGAGGGTGATAGCCCACTTGCTCGCAAAGGAGCTCAACGGGCTTCCCTTGGAGTCTAGTAGTTCTAATTTGGACAATGGTCCTATGTGTGAGACTCATCGCTTCTTGAAGGAGGCGGAGCATATGCAAAAACAGGAGAAAATCTACAACCAGCGATGTCTAGCCCAGCTGGATGTGCCGGGAGATGAGTTGAAGGCTCGGCGGAAACACATCTTAAACGGTATAGAAATCGATGTTAAATTGGCAAGTAATAGGATTGGTAGACAGCCAGGAAGAGCTTCAAGTCCAGTTAAACATGCGTATGGCTCATGCACTACGAGAAAAAAGGATGGACCCACCATGTTGATGGGCTTGGGCATCGAGGAGATTCCCAGGTTGCATTCGTATGCCCATTCATTGGACAACTCGATCAGGGTTATGCTCATGAAGGGCAATGAGTCCCAGCGCTGTGGAGCAGGTGACTATGAAATCCTGGATGTGGACTCCGACGTGAAGGGCTCTACGGAAACAAACTTGAAGCCACAAAGTCAAAGTGCGAGGAGTAGTTTCAATGGCCGAAAAGTATTATCGCAAGAAGGGAAAACAACTGAAAATTCTAAGAAGTCCATTATCAAGGTGCCACCGAGTTTGCCAACTTCCAGTTTTAAGAAACTAGCCGATCTTATTCCTGCTTGCAGTCGAACTTTGCGTTGTTTGAAACGATCATCCACAAAGTGTCCTGAGGAAGAGACCTTCACAATCAGGACTACTGGTGGCGTTCAGTTGGACCATCACAAGGTTTTCGATGTGCCGTCGCCTCCTAAAGAGCCATTGCCATGGGAGGATAAGGTGCTCGACTTGGAGGACAAGCAAGCTGTGATCGAAAAGCTCTGCATCGATGCGCTTGGGAATGGCGAAACCAAGTCCAAGAAGGAGTTGCAGCAATCCAAATTCATTCCGGCAGTTTCAGCAGCAGCTGCGGATTGTGCAGTGAATATGTTCCGTAAAAAGGTCGCAGAAACCACGGAGAATCCAGCTGATAAGCATACAAAACAGAATGGGGACACACTCATCGATCCGGATGACGACGAGCAGATTGAAAATCTTCTGAAGGAAGCTCTTCGGATTCTCCGTGGCAATCGCCAATACGTGCTGGCCACCTTTTCCAATGCCCACAAGATGCCGGTGCTCCTTGATTGGGTGGCGGATCGCTACGGGAAATCATACAGTCGAGCCGGGTTGAACTCCATCGTGAAGACCTCGTTCCGGATATACGAGAGTGTGTACCAGGAAGAAAGAGGTAACAAGCGGAATATTTTGGAGCTGAAGAGATCTGTGACGGGTCTGGGTGGTTCCATCAACTATGCCAGCCACAATAGGTTCATGTCCCAAGTCAGGGAGCGCAAGGCCGAGTACAACGACAAGCTGAACAAACTGGCACTGGAGCAGACGCGTCTTACCTGGCTGGCGCTGCGAGGATACTCACACCTGGGCGGCAACCTCAAGGACACCTTCTTCGCCTACATGCCCGCCAGGACGCTGGATGTGAAGCGCCAGCATGTTTGGAAGTCCTCTGATTACAGGGACATGGTGAAACTTCGGCTGATCTCGCGACCAATGACCATCTGAATACGGGTATTTCGTTTTGCCCTTTGGCAACCACATCCGGAAGGACTGGTTCCACAGGGCAGATCGAAGTACTTGCATGCCCATGGTTTTCATTCTGCCATTTGGAATCGCCATTTCATTCGCTGCTTGCATATATGTATCTCGTGATCTGCTTAGTGGCTGGTACACTCCGAAAAACTTTTGTCATTCGCCATTGCGGCCAACTATTTATGTAAACCAAACTACGTATAATCCCAATTAAAAATGCTCATGCCCAACTAAAACGCCATGGACGGCAAATGAATAGCAAACACGGTCGAGTCGGGGCTTAGTTTCAGATTTTCAGCTATCGTCTGGTCGCCAGATTGCCGATGGGCCGTTGTTGCTCATTAATTAAAAACGGGGTGGTAAAACAGTGGGTGGAGTGTCAAACCCATCCCGCACTGAATGGCGGAAAAGTGGAAAAGCGGAAAGGAGGGAAAGGGGAAAACAACAGACTGGCAAGCTGCTGGCCATGTAATGGCGCTCCGATGACGCACGTGACACGTGTGGCATGGCGCTGACAATTCAAAATCGACTCGCTGACAGCGAGCAGATGACGCTGCCAGGAGCACAGGAGGACATTACTGGGCGGCGAGGTCCTGGCTGATGGCAGCGGTCTGCCCGCAGCACTTTGTGTATTAAATCGGTTGAGCATGTGACAGGATTATGATATAAATCATTGCATACTTTACGGCGATCGATTTAAGGGCGCCAGGCATTTTTATTTTGATAAACTGAAACAACGGACGCGTTTCTGCAATTGATGAGAGCTTTATTATTTATTTACTCCATTATTTATATATTTAATTTGTGTACTGTGAGTAAGGCATCGCGATAGCCTTTCGCAAAGCCGAAATCTAACAATAATGGTTCAGAAAACACTTGTCTCGGAAAACGCTTCCAAAAGTTTATTTTGTTTTAAGCTAAAAATGTATCACACTTTAAAAAAGTTTATTCCACAATTTTGCAATTTAAGCGACTTGCCTTTGGTTAAATCTTTAAAAAAGTCACATTAAATCCCATACATTACTTGCAAAATAAAATGAAATTTTCATCTCTTGTTTGTGTATTAATTACTTTGTAAGTTTTGTAAATTGTATTGTTCAGATTAATATATTTAATCTTATTAATTACGAAAAATACTTTCAGCTTAAACGCGTTTGATACATTCTCATATTTGTAAACACCCCATAAAAGATGTATCAATAGCACGTCACAGATTATGACCACGTCAGTTAAAATCTGTATGATTTTTCCCCTTTTGGAAACCATGGGACAAACATCCTTTTTTAGGTGTCTGAGTAAGACCCAATCACACAAGTCCCCGGGCGGATGTTTTCATGCGGACCCTGCAGGAGCTGTCCGATAATCGCCGGCTAATGCAATGAGCTCCGTATGGCAGAAATCCGGACAATGCCCCCCGGAGACGGATCCCCCATTGGCAGTGCCATTTCCATGGCCATTATATTCAATTATACGACAATAACGTGGCGCTTAGGGCGCTGCGGTTCACGGGAATTGAAAATAATAATAATGTGGGGGGTGTAGCAATGGTGGGAGTGTTAGGTTGAATACATAAAAAGTGCAAGCTGGCTTTTCGGAGTAGGGGTTGCTGGTCCGTGCACAAGGACTTGGCCGAACTATCAGCAAGAAATTATGATTAGCTTTTGGTAAACTTTCGACCGCAGTCAGCAGTCGTAGGGCACTTTCGAGCTGCCATCGCATACTTTGCGGCACTAATCCGCCGGGCGGACGGACCAGGGACTACGGACAACAGACAGCGGACAACGGACAACGGACAGCGGACAACGGACAACGGACAGCGGATTCCGGACGGACAGCACATCAGTGGAGCATGAAGCCTGGAACCTGAGAACAAAAAAGGGAATTTCCGCAAGCGCAACGTTTTAATTTGACTCTTGATTGTTATGCCATTGTTGCCTAGCATTGTGCATTCCGCATTCTACACTCGACATTCTGCGCCCTTAGCTCTGTGTGGGCTCTTTGTGTAATCGCCGCTAATGCGCCCGAAATTGTGCTAAACGATTTTCATTCTGAAGCCCTACCCTCCTCGTCCTACCTCGTCCTATTTCCGCCCACCAATTTTCGAGACTCCCGGACCGCGGGCTATTAAGCTGGGCTGTGGGCTGTGCGTTACAATAACCATGTTTTAAAGCCTCGGGGAAAACTTGGGATGCTATTTTTCTGACTTATCGCAGGATTATGAATCGTGGGACATTTGACTTTCCTGGCCATTGAGATTTGCATTTGCACGCCACATTTGTTAAATTTCTATCGTCATGTATGTCATTTCACTTAATTATGCCATTTACTTTGCATACAAAGCTGCCATAAGTTTGCTACCAAATTCTTGGACAAATTTTCAGAGAAGAGGCGAGGCATTTTTCCAGCACAGAACAATTTGTCACAATTACTGCACACAAAATGACAGGCAGATGAAAACCAAGCAGCTGGAAAACAAGCTCCGGCTACGGAAAAGTCGACTCCAAGTAGGCGAGCCGCACTTTCACAAGTTAAATGTGTTCAGGCCCTGCACAATGATGCAGCAAATGCCTGTCAGAATATTTAGGAACAGGAGCAGGAACAGGACCAGGAGCACCTGCTTGGCAAACGTGTCCGTGTGCCCGAAATTTTGTCATATTTTTTGGTTAATTTCAAAAATGCAAATCATCGATGTCCTGGACGAGCGGAGCACGTCCTGTCGCCTTTCTGACAAATTTGCCAGCACTGCTCGTGCGGCAATGTGCTCGTCACAACTTTCTGTGGTGAGGAATATCATGGATCCGGTGGGCTTTTTAGTTTTCCAGCCTGCAAGACCCGTGCCTGGCGACGTCGATGTCGATCGTTGTGTTCCATGGACCAGGCGGCCCTCTGGTTTGCAGCTTATTCACATAGTTGATGTTAGTTTGCTGCATGGTTCATAGGGCCATAGGGCTCCACTGGGCCATGTTATGCAAAGTTGGCATTTCCATTTCCTGCCTTTGTTTAGTCATCGCTTGGTTTGTTTAGGGCCAAATAGTCCTTTTTACGCACCAAAATTGGATTAATTTTAGCAACTAATTAGGGCTCTGCGGGCTAAGCCGTGTATTTACCTTTCATTAAAGTTCTAAACGACTTTTGTGTTGTATTGATTAAGATTGTGCTGCTTAAATGTGTTTGTTTTCTTTAAGTTACATATTTCAAGGATACACTTAAGAGCAATGATTCCGGGTTGTTTCCAATAATTACAATAATATCTTCACGAAATAATCTGTTACTTGAACAATGATTAGCTAGTTAATAATTATTAATTCCATTTAAGTTCAGTCCTTCTGTTAGTAACTGTTTTAAATAAAATTGTACGCCGAAAACGCAGAACCCTTTTTTATAATTTTTCAATAGTCGGAAAGTGAGAATATTGTTGTGCCAAAACATTTATTTCCTAATACTGTATCATGATCGTTTTGAGAACCCACAAAGAAACACATTTCGATGAGCAAGCTTTGCTAACCATATGACATTAAGAGTGTAGAGCTTTCGAAAAAGCTCGGACCGGTTCTCTCCACACTGCGCATGCGCAGCCGTCTTGCTGCATTCAACGGAACTGTTCGAAAGCAGCGGAGGTGGTGGAGACTTCTGGGCGTTAAAACTCATTCCCTGAGCGATCCGATCGCACAGTTGAGTTCGAGACGTAGACGCGTGAGCACGTAGACGAGGTTGGTGAGTCCCGATTTCTGCGAGTGTAGTGCGGATGATGTGGTGAATCAAGTGAATGAAGTGAATTGATTACGGACGTTCAAAGTGCCGGAAAGCATATCAATTTGCAATATTAAATATAATCTATCTGTCCGTGCAGGTTTATGTCGGCTAACGAAATGGCGCTTGTGAAAATATGCATATTTGCTTTGGCTTTGGCCGTGGGTAAGTGTGGAAAAAACTCTTAATTGCATTTGCCAATTAATGATACTTCAATAACATGGCGTGCAAAATGTCCCTGTGCAAACGCTATTTGGCTATTTGAATAATGTGCCGTGACTTTAATGCTCTTCTGCTCTCGGCGAAAACAATCGCCTCTAATTGTTGGCCGCACCCAAACAAACAGCAACAAACCAATAGGCCAAACTGCAAACAACCCAACCAACAAACGAACAAATAAACGAACAAACCAGCATAATAGCGTCAAACAAACATATGCAAATGCGGAATGCAGAATGCAGCGTGCAGGAGCAACTAAGCTGAAAAATATTGTTAACATTATTGGCACCCATGTTTATGCATATCTGCAGTGTTTGCAATCCTGGCCCTCTCATCATGTCAACTTTTGTCCGATTTCGATGGCGTAGAACACGTGTAAATGCCACATGTAGCATATAATGCATATAGCCTACTGCTATACCATATTGCTGTTGTTGCTGCCAATTTGCATGACTTTTGATTTTCGGTTTTCATACCCGTTACTCGTTGGGTAAAAGGGTATACTAGATTCGATAGGTACTTACAAGTATTTTGCTCCCCTTGGGAAATATAAAAGCTGGAAAGCTATGTTAAGCTACACAGATACTGGAGACTTACGAGTTCGTGTGAGCACGTACGGAGTGCGAATGCCGGGTATCTGTTAGTCGAGGTACTCAGCTATAGCGAGGTACTCTCTTGATTGGACCGGAATTACAGCTGCGAACCCATTGACATCCCAATTGCAATTGGAATTTCGGCAATTTAATTTTCTGGCAAATTTTCTGCTCATTTATTGTGTGAAAGCTCATTAAAAATTTGTTTGTCTCCAATGTGCGGGGCATTAAAAATGCACATTGTTAACTCGCCGGCATAAGCATACATATTAAACAAATTGATAGGCGGGCAACTGTTGCACTCGGGGGCGTAAGCTGAATTTGGTAATCACATTAAAATGGCCATGGAAAAATATAGCAACAGCTCATAATTAAATGTATTGATATTCGAGCCCGACGCGTGAAAGCAAA